AGCGCAAAGAAACGCGGTCGCTATCTCTTCCGAACTGAGAAACATGTTGTTGTTTTCACGGATACCGGAACAAGAAGAACCGGAAATGAGGCCCATTGCGTCTGGACGTAGTCCATACGTCTTGATGCTACCCCAACGTCCGCATTTAAATTGGGTTATGCAAGTTAGGGGTAACTCTTTGTATTTATGCTTGTAAACGGGTTATTCTGATCAACTCAGAAACCTGAATACCCACCTTAACCCTAACCCTAACCCTAACCCTAGCCCGATCATAACCTGGATATTGGCTGCATGTAAACATAGTCATGGTATGTATTGTTGCAAGCAGAATCATGATAAATGACCCGCACTTGTATAGCATCTCTCAGAGTAAGGACTCCAAAGCGCTTTACACTACAGTGTATCATTCATCCATTCACACACACACATTCACACACTGATGGTGATGAGCTACGATATAGCCACAGATGCCCTGGGGCGCACTGACAGAGGCGAGTCAGTCGTACACAGGCACCACCGGTCCCACCAAACACAACCAGCAGGCAAGGTGGGTTAAGTGTCTTGCTCAAGGACACAACAGCAGCATTCTCTGTCTGGAGGATCATGCTGCATTGTTGCTACTTTAGGTTTTCCTCTATGTGTGTATTTAGCTTTTCTCAGCTTTGTTATTTAGTGCCAGTGTTGAGGTAGAAAACAAACTCTATCATAAGAATAGTAATTTGGCATCACCTAGTGGTGATATGTGGTAAGCACATCTGAAAGCAGGAGGCATAAATGTGCCCCACCCCAAAAAAATAAAAATAAATAAATAATTCACCAGACAACACTGATTCCTGCACTGATTGACAGCCGCAGCAGCACCTGACCAACCTGCGGTTAAATGTGCCGACAGGCAGGTGGATCGATGGAGCTGGACAGATGTGATCCAAATGGAAATACGCAACATGAGCAAGCACAAGGAAGAAAATGTCAAAACAAGAGGAGTGTTCTACATTTAAAAGTGGGCATGTTGTTGAGAAAAAGAACAACAAAGACATCCCAGCAGCTGCTAATCATGAGGCAGAAGAGAGGATAGTTCTGTCGGGATGTGGACTGGAGAGTCCTGATTATCACTCATTAAACATCTCTTTAAAGGTTGAATAAGGAACAGTTTAATAAGAATGCTATACATTTTTAAGAATAATACCTTCACAGGGTGAAATATTTATTTTGACAGGCACAACACTGGATTTATGTTTTACATCTACCAGCCAGTAGAGGGCACTATTGCTGGTTCCCAAACAGTCCGCTCGACTGTCGCTTTGGTGATGTGTTCCACATTCCACATTTAAATGAATGAATCTTCACCTGTCTTATGTCTCATGCTGTCAATGGTATTATAATTGGCGCATACATAAATAATACGTACGGAAACATCCATAGACCGAAACATATCACAGTTTGCTTGTACGAAGGATTTCTGCTCATAAAAGGGTGAACGTTTGAACTTAACCCTGCCTCAGCTGCTTCTGCTGAGTGAAGCTTCTCAAACCGAGGTTCTCCAGTGGCAAGAGACCACTGGCTATCATAAACCCAGCTCAGCTCAGCACCAGATGACCTCATGGATGATCATCATATCCATAAAAAGGAGATGTGTGCATCTGCAGAAGGCTTCTTCCATTGTTGAACAAGGCTGCTCATTTAATCTGTGCGCATTGTAATAAATGGGATGCAACTTTATTTACTTGAGAGGACCCAGCTGATCACTTTATTGTTAGAAGATAAGAAAATGACTGTCTAGTGTTTCAGAACAGACCAGAAAACAGCCTAATCTAAGCCCTCCATCTTGATGCTGTCAGAAACAGATGATGAGGGTTATGAGAACACCAGTTTTATGCTCTTGATGCTAATATAATTCTATTTACAGCTTGAGACAGTGATGTATGGTCCCGTGGTTCATTTGGTAATAATAAATCATAATAGAGTATTTAATTATTCTCAGCTGTTTGTGCTGCGCTTCAGGAAGACAGTATCCAAGCAACCCCTGGCACCAAATGAAAAGAACGGTGGACTGCATCCGAATGCAAAATCAGGCAAACTATTTATTCTACCTGCATTAAAATGTATAAAACACTTAATCTCTGAAACAATGAATCCAATGTTATTCACAGAATTTGTTGTCTTTTCAGTCAGAGAGCTGCAAAAGAGTGATGAATTATACATGTTTAGTTGTTTTAAGCTACCCAGAGTAGAATCATCGAGTGGAAATCGGTTCGCCATCATCATCACAAAAACGGCCCAAGCAAAAAAAATCAGCTATAGTGACCACCCGTGTAAGCATTAACCAGGGTGAAGGGCACCACCATTCAAATCTTTCCTGTTGTTTAAGGCAACACTGCTGAGTCATAAGTCACTTTTACAAAACGATGTCATCAATTTGCCGCAATGCCGTGGCGGCATCAGGAAGCCTTAGGTCGTGTATAAGCGGTCAGACCGTGGCGGAAATGTGGCCCAATCATGTCCTTTTTATATAAAATGAGGCGATGACGGCATAAAGGGGGTATAGGGGCGGTCTATGTGCTGCACTTGGACATAACTTGCTAAACGTGTCTGTCCTCCACAGTCCCCATGCAGTCTCAGGTGATCTGAGCTCCAGCTCTAACTGAGAGAAGCTCCTGGAGGGCTGCAGCGCTCCGGTTTGCCATTTCAGCTGATTTTGTTCAAAAAGCAAAGCTCGTGGCCCGTGTTTACTTTAATTTTCAATGAAGTTGCCAGCTGGAGCTCGGCATTAACTCCCTACATCATCATGAAAACTCCCTCTGTTGAGCCAAGGTGCAATCGCCGTTTATGCGGAAGACAACTACCGCAATTTTACTACCAAGCGAGGCAGAATGAATGCCACAAAAATTGCACAAGCCTTGCTGGCATGGCGCGTTTAAGGCACACCGTTGCGGTAATATTACGCTGATTAGGCGGCATGGTGTTTCTTGTAAAAAGGGCTGTACATTACCATCTTGTTTCAAAAATGGCCACCAGACATGACGACTGCTGTATTGCCCTCTGATCTCAGTGTTAGCATGGATGCAGCAGTGGATTCTTTGGCTTATTTTTCCTTGTATGAAGACCAAGTTCGCTAAGAAACAGTTTTTTTAGTCTTTATTTTGAAATATGACCAGTCACTCTGAGTTTAACATGAAAATAGTCTTCTACCCTAAATTCTTGCATTAGCCTCCGATAGAACATAGACGAGGAAATGCTCAGATTGAAAAATCCAGTCAAATCGACGTCACACTGATAAGTAACATTATGGACTCGCCGATTTTGGCTTGCGACGGGGAAGGCTGTTGTTGGTTTAGTGTCCAGGAGAGAACAGAGATCATCTTGACCAACAGAAGCTAACAGTTAGCTTTAGTAATTCCATCACACAGCAGAACTCCTTCAAGCTTGAGTTATTTGTGGAGATAAAACATCAAGGTTACAGAACAAACTGAGTCGGTGGTAGAGTCCTGTTGCTGTTAGCCAATCAGAAGCAAAATGTCAGAAGATGCCAAATCATGCTTATCTCTTCTGGCTCACTTCTACTTCCTGAAACTGGAGCACCAGAGCTTTATTCCCCTCGAAGGTCAAATCTATACTAGAGGCCACTGTAAATGTGTTAAAAAAAGAAGCAAACTTGGTCTTTAACATTACATTTCTGCTAACACCAAGTCTCAATTCAATACTTGCGCTCCTTTGCATCTTTCTCCAGCCGACTTAGAGACAATCTGTGAACCAAACAGTTTCGAACTGTTTCAAAACTGATTTTTAAACCTGAAGAACAACCGGTCCTGCCAGGTCCAGTGGACAAACCAATGCAGCTTAGGTTTTCCTCCAGAAAATAATGAGTTGTAACACAAATGGTAAAACTGTAAATGACCTGCATTTGTATGGTGCATTCTGAGGGCTCTACACCCCCCCAAGGCACTTCACAACACAATCAGTCATTCACACATTCACACGCTGGTGGTGATGAGCTACGATGTAGCCACAGCTGCCCTGGGGCACACTGACGGAGGCAAGGCCTGCCGGACACTGGTGTCACCAGTCCGTCCGACCACCACCAGCCGGCAAGGCCCAAGGACACAACAGCAGCATTCTCTGGTGGGAGCCAGGATCGAACCTGCAACCTTCCGATTACTGGACAACCCGCTGTACCTCCTGAGCTGCTGCTGCTGTCCCACTTGAGTTGTAACACAAATATAACTTTAACATGCCATGGCTCTAATTAAATACTGAATTATGCAATGTGTTACTCCTCACATATGTTTGATCAGTTGTGATGATGCTTACTTTGTGTTTAATAAAAACAAAAAACAAGCAGAAGGAAGCACCAGACTGCGATTAGAGCCAACGGTGGAAGACCTCGCTCATAAAAGAACGCGACGTAAAGGGACTGCGTCTGTGTTCCTGTGGATGAGCTGCTGAAGCTGACATGAAGAAAGAACGTTGTTGCATCGAGGCGTCCAGCCAGCCCCGCTGTGTTTGTAGAGATCCTGCGTTAGCTAAGGAGGCTACAGTGTTGATGATGCAGCACAAGCAGACATCACCCACAGCTACTGGCTGCCTCTGCAGCAGGAGTGGCTCCCTCCTTCCACAAGGTTCCACTCCACTTCTCAGCATGGCTCAAACTAGAAATATGTGTGTGTGTGTGTGTGTGTGTGTGTGTGTGTTTTATCAAGGCTCGACATACTGTCAGGTACTGCCTTACCCTCCATCTCTCCTAGGAGTTTTGCTGAATTGTCACTGAGTTCATTTAGGAATCACACACACACACACACACACACACACACACACACACACACACACACACACACACACACACACACACACACACACACACACACACACACACACACACGCCAGTGAAACTTCTGTTTAAACTGTACATTTTTTACACCCACTTGTCTTTTTACATTCCCTCGTGTGAATGTAACTGCAATTTGTTAGTGTGTGTGTGTGTGTGTGTGTGTGGTGATGCTCACAGCACTACTGGGATCGATGCGAGGCCTCTCCATGGCAATGGTGATGCAGTTGAGGAAGATGATGACCAGCACGATGTGGTCAAACATTTTGTGGGTGATAATCTTGTTGCAGAGGATTCGAAACCTGACAAATAAATAGAAAAATAAACTTCAGTCACAACAATAATCACCAGTTTATAATAAATAGAAAAGATTCAGCGTTTTATTTCCACTGTTTTGTTTGCATTTCTGTACTCTTTTTTACTCCCTGTAGCTTCATTTATTTAGCAACAAACAAAAGAAACATCAGAACGAGTGAGTTAATCAGGAAAGGCGTGCTCTAATGTCCGGCCTGCTTCGTTGTGGAAGAAAAATCACGATCATAGTCTTTTGATTCAGGCTGGAGGGATAATGTAACAAGAAACACAGAGTTCACATTTATATGGACTACCTGACCATTTTTATAAATTAGGTTAATTCCAATTTATAGCTTAAGGTATTCACACGTTCACAAATCTATTTCATGTAGTCAACAAAACTGAGATATTTGCAGTCAGAAATCTCATGTAAAGAACATGAGATCCACACAGATTTCACACATGAAAATGAGGAGCCTTGAGGATTTTTTTTGGGGGGGGGGGGGGGGGGGGGGGCTATAGAAATCTCCACAGGATGATGTCTTTTGAGATCAAATTGAAAGGAAAATTGAAATTTAGTTACTCAAAGTAATTAAGCTTTCGCTGGCCACGCCCACCAGTTCTGATTGGCTGTTGTGAAGGAGGGGCTCAGAGTAGAACCAATGCTTCTCCACCAACATTGACTTGGAGGGGGTTTCTATGCTAATTTTGCTCATTCTGACATCACAACAACAGATTTTAAAAAAAAAGCTATTTTCAGACACATAATTCCTGAAACCCAACACTGACAGGAAATGGATAGATGTTTTGTATCGCGTCATACCCCTGTCAAAACCCGTGCACGCGCATTGGGTCCACAGCGCGCGTGTGAACGGGACTCGCGAGCGAAAATATACATGGCAGCGCGCGTGTGAACGGGACTCGCGAGCGGAAATATACATGGCGAGAGGTCATTTGTGCACTGAGAGGGAGCAAACTGTGTCTGTGAGCGCTCAAGGATGTGCACAAGTGACAAACCTGCGTGCGCGCGTGGTCAACGAGCACACGGCAGAGGAAAACGTGCGCGCGCGGCAGCCTCTGTGCGCGCTCGGCAGCCTCTCTGCGCGCTCGGTTTCTGACTCCTGCTCGCTCGGCTGTAAGGGTTTTGGCACTCTGGAGGCGTGGCCTGTGGCAGATCTTCTCTGTCCTCTGATTGGTTAGTGTACCCCGCACTTTACCCTCTACCTATCTATATAAAAAAGTCTGCTAGTCAAGTAGTCGCTGGCATAGCTCAGTTGGAAGAGCGGGTGACTCTCGCCCCGGAGGATCCAGGTTCGAGGCCGGGCAAGGAAAATGCAGTAGATGTCATGTTAATTTTTCTTAATTTCAGGTATTTTACAGTTGTGACCGTTCAACTGTCATTAAACGTCCGAATGTTTGCTGGGCAGTGTTTTAAAAAGTGCACATAAGCTAGATGGTTTTAACCATATAAAATTACATTTTTTGTGATACTGGAAAAATACATACTGAAATAAAACTACTGATTGAAAACTTTATGACTGTGGTTGTACAATATATGACTCACTAATACACTGCAAACTCCCTTAGAGTGGGGCTTCCAGAGAGAGAGAGAGAGAGAGAGAGACAGAGAGAGAGACAGAGAGAGAAAAGTTCTTGCCTCATTAATGAATTGTTTATTTTTTTCAGTATTTAATTGACAAATTATCCTTTCAAATAATTAATTGATGAGTTACATAATTGTCCATTTAGAATTGTTGAATGGACTGAGTCAAGTTTGGTGCACTTTATATATTTCAAAACATGTTTTTTTTTTTATTTTAATGATGCATATAAATAATTTAAATGTTAATTTAATGAAATATTTCTATTTTTTCATTACCTCACCCTTGTTTTGACAAAAACGGGACCTTGCTGGATAATATCATGGAGAAACTATTTGTTCACAGTACATGGCTCAGTGAGGATCTGTGTAAAGGAGGAGATACTCAGAAATCTGTCTGCAGATTGTTACAACCCAGACTGGAAGTGGTGGGCTGTAATAAGAAAGGAGACCAAACAGAGGAGTGGGGGTTCAACAACTGATTTATTTAACAAAAGTAAGGATTTACTAAAGCAAGTTAGTGAACAGAAAATGGCCAGTGAGGACTCTCCACCACACAGGAGAGACCCAGTGAAAGCAGAAAAACAGTAGGCTTTGTAGGCAGCACCACACCCTGAGCCCAGGTGCCTCCAAGGCTGCTTAACCAGCTGCCTACAACAGAAGAAAAACACAATTAAACACAAATGAAAACCCAATGAGATGGTGGGGGCATCACAACACGTTCAGGACTACCCAAACACCAGTAAATCTTGACTGCACTGATCTGAGGTGTCAATGGCCATATTCCCCTCTCTTCCAGAGTCATATATTTTCCTCAAGTTCAACTGCACTCTGAAGAGGCTCATTTGGATTGTGCCACATAGGCCAGTGACCTTTGTCTCAGCACTGTATGCTGGAACTATCAGCGACCAACCTGGGAATCTGGTGTGTTGAAAATGCTACAACTAGAGATGGTCATCTTGGTAGACAGGGGTTTCTGCATTGATGACATTGTGCCCTGCAAAGTGTACAGGCCAGCTTTCCTTTCTGGCAAACCTCAAATGTCTGCATGTAAAGTTATAGAAACAGAAGCCATAACATCTCTGAGTGCATGTGGAGCGCTCCATTCATCTGGTCCAAGAACACAAGCATTTTGATTGTTATTCCCCTCCTTGCATTTGTAAACAATCAGCTATATGCTGTGGTTTTTCTCCTTACCAACTTTTAAAATAGCCCACTAGTGAAGGCCTGGGCAAAGAAGCCTGATGTCTGAGAACCTCAACATATGTACGGCAACCACACTGTATATTTACACACTTTCATAAAGAAACTGCATATCAAGCTTTCATTCAGATGACCTTCAACAGTGCTGCACCCTGCTGAGGGACATCCGAGTAAAACCTTGAGATGGCCATTTTCTGTTCACTAACTTGCTTTAGTAAATCCTTACTTTTGTTAAATAAATCAGTTGTTGAACCCCCACTGCTCTGTTTGGTCTCCTTTCTTATTACAGCCCACCACTTCCAGTCTGGGTTGTAACAATCTGCAGACAGATTTCTGAGTATCTCCTCCTTTACACAGATCCTCACTGAGCCATGTACTGTGAACAAATAGTTTCTCCATGATATTATCCAGCAAGGTCCCGTTTTTGTCAAAACAAGGGTGAGGTAATGAAAAAATAGAAATATTTCATTAAATTAACATTTAAATTATTTATATGCATCATTAAAATAAAAAAAAAAACATGTTTTGAAATATATAAAGTGCACCAAACTTGACTCAGTCCATTCAACAATTCTAAATGGACAATTATGTAACAATTATTTGAAAGGATAATTTGTCAATTAAATACTGAAAAAAATAAACAATTCATTAATGAGGCAAGAACTTTTCTCTCTCTGTCTCTCTCTCTGTCTCTCTCTCTCTGTCTCTCTCTCTCTCTGGAAGCCCCACTCTAAGGGAGTTTGCAGTGTATTAGTGAGTCATATATTGTACAACCACAGTCATAAAGTTTTCAATCAGTAGTTTTATTTCAGTATGTATTTTTCCAGTATCACAAAAAATGTAATTTTATATGGTTAAAACCATCTAGCTTATGTGCACTTTTTAAAACACTGCCCAGCAAACATTCGGACGTTTAATGACAGTTGAACGGTCACAACTGTAAAATACCTGAAATTAAGAAAAATTAACATGACATCTACTGCATTTTCCTTGCCCGGCCTCGAACCTGGATCCTCCGGGGCGAGAGTCACCCGCTCTTCCAACTGAGCTATGCCAGCAACTACTTGACTAGCAGACTTTTTTATATAGATAGGTAGAGGGTAAAGTGCGGGGTACACTAACCAATCAGAGGACAGAGAAGATCTGCCACAGGCCACGCCTCCAGAGTGCCAAAACCCTTACAGCCGAGCGAGCAGGAGTCAGAAACCGAGCGCGCAGAGAGGCTGCCGAGCGCGCACAGAGGCTGCCGCGCGCGCGCACGTTTTCCTCTGCCGTGTGCTCGTTGACCACGCGCGCACGCAGGTTTGTCACTTGTGCACATCCTTGTGCGCTCACAGACACAGTTTGCTCCCTCTCAGTGCACAAATGACCTCTCGCCATGTATATTTCCGCTCGCGAGTCCCGTTCACACGCGCGCTGTGGACCCAATGCGCGTGCACGGGTTGTGGCACGCTTTAAACGCCATAGTTTTCCCACATCTGAAGTGTTAGTAGAAGCATATGGCGTTTAAAGCGTGCCACAACCCGTGCACGCGCATTGGGTCCACAGCGCGCGTGTGAACGGGACTCGCGAGCGGAAATATACATGGCGAGAGGTCATTTGTGCACTGAGAGGGAGCAAACTGTGTCTGTGAGCGCACAAGGATGTGCACAAGTGACAAACCTGCGTGCGCGCGTTGTCAACGAGCACACGGCAGAGGAAAACGTGCGCGCGCGGCAGCCTCTGTGCGCGCTCGGCAGCCTCTCTGCGCGCTCGGTTTCTGACTCCTGCTCGCTCGGCTGTAAGGGTTTTGGCACTCTGGAGGCGTGGCCTGTGGCAGATCTTCTCTGTCCTCTGATTGGTTAGTGTACCCCGCACTTTACCCTCTACCTATCTATATAAAAAAGTCTGCTAGTCAAGTAGTCGCTGGCATAGCTCAGTTGGAAGAGCGGGTGACTCTCGCCCCGGAGGATCTAGGTTCGAGGCCGGGCAAGGAAAAGGCAGTAGATGTCATGTTAATTTTTCTTAATTTCAGGTATTTTACAGTTGTGACCGTTCAACTGTCATTAAACGTCCGAATGTTTGCTGGGCAGTGTTTTAAAAAGTGCACATAAGCTAGATGGTTTTAACCATATAAAATTACATTTTTTGTGATACTGGAAAAATACATACTGAAATAAAACTACTGATTGAAAACTTTATGACTGTGGTTGTACAATATATGAC